GTTGGGACGTGGCCCCCCCTTCTTTTTTTTATCAAGAGAGAGAAACAAATATTTTAAAGAGAAGAGAGAAATTGACGTGTAGAGAATTACGGGTAAGGGGTCCTCTTTTTATAATGCTAAAAAATAGGATAAGGATTTCTAGGGCTTACCTCTTCTTGTGGATTGAATATGAATTGTTAATAATGGGTGACTTGTGGGGTGAGAGATTATCAACTCATCCTATAAAATAGGAAATCTCCTAAAAGTTAGGTGTGCCACCCATGTGGTGGATTTATTGGCCCCTCCCAATTTAGGCCATAGTCGCCCATGTGCACAATGGGCCCCCAATGCTATTTTTAAATATTTAAAAATTAATAAAATATTTCAAAATTAATTTGAATATTTAAAAATCAATATCTCTATTTGATAATTCAAATTTTATAAATAAAATATCTAGAGATCTAAAAAAATTCAAATAATAATTCTAAAATAACATCATCATAAATATCAATACAACTAAATATAGTCTAGGAGTCAACAATCTGAGGCATTCTAAAGTCTGATTGATGAGCCAAGGGGTCGTAATCCTAGTTTATGGATTTCAGGTTCTTCCCTGGAAACGTGCTAAGGTCACCTAGACCTGATGTGACCACAACTCCTATAGCGCATAAGGGTATCTCTCACATATACATAAACTTCACCCTAAAAGGAGGTTCATTTTCCTAAAATAACTATCATCATGCATGCCGTGTGATGCTACATAGATGAGGCTTTGGCCCCTGCCTCTGAAGGCTATCATCACACACAAGGGTCACATAGTCCTTTGGCTCATTCATTCAGGCATACTCCGACCTCATCAAGGGGTGACCTATTAGATCCCTTATCGGATAGTTTTCTATGCTCAGATAACATAGATTTTTTCCAACCGACTGGCCTAGACCGTCAAACACACTTCGGTATCAGCAAATATTATTTTCGTAGTATGATCCATGCGAAACCATGCTCCTATTGAGTTCATGTTCATTACATCAAATGTTTTTCATTACAAGCACTAATAAGACTTTTAATGGCCACACTCACCCAACATTCCTCATAAGCCCATGAACAAAGATTGTAAGAAAGACTCAAAACTCTTTGGAGCATGCATTGCAAGGAAGAGGCATAAGAGATCATGGCAAAAGAAGAAGAGGACATGGAAGATGCAACTATAACTATGGAGGTGTGAGAGATCAACCCACAAATTCACAGAGGAAGAAAAAGATGTAATTTTTCAAGGCCATACAATCATTCAAGATATGATAAATCAACTATTCAATGTTATAATTTTAAAAAATATGGCCATTATAGTTATGAGTGTAGATACCGTTCTCAAAATGATGTATTTAAAAAAGTTAATTTTGTTGGAAAGAAAAATGATGAAGAAGAAACAATTTTGTTATTAGCCTATAATGATAATAATAAGAATCAAATGGATACTTGGTATCTTAATACCGGTGCAAGCAATCACTTGTGTGGTAGAAATGAATTGTTTGTGGAATTGAATATGAACAAAGATTATAAAAAAGGCTCAAAACTCTTTGGAGCATGCACTGCAAGGAAGAGGCCTAAGAGATCATGGCAATAGAAAAAGAGGACATGGAAGATGCAACTTTAACTCTGGAGGTGTGAGAGATCAACCTACAAAGAAGAAGATGTAATTTTTCAAGGGCATACAATCATTCAAGGTATGAAAATCGACTATTCAATGTTATAATTTTAAAAAATATGGCCATTATAGTTCCGAATGTAGATACCGTTCTCAAAATGATGTATTTAAAAAAGTTAATTTTGTTGGAAAGAAAAACGATGAAGAAGAAACAACTTTGTTATTAGCTTATAATGATAATAATGAGAATCAAATGGATACTTGGTAGAAATCAATTGTTTGTGGAATTGAATGAATTTAAACCGGCAATTGGACTATAATTGAGAGATTTCTCTCTCCATGATTCTCTCCATTTATGAAATTTTTTTGAGTAGCTATTTAGGAAACTGTTTACATAGATGATTCTGTCTCTCTCCCCCCCTCTCTCTTCTCTCCCTCGTTTAGTAATTTGCTCCTTATTTTGTAAAATCTTTTAGATCTCCATATCTTTTCTTGAAAATGAAATTCTGCCATTTTCTACATATGTTTTCGTGGACCCGGTTTTTATGCGGCTAAGCCCGCATACATAGAAAGGCGGGCCTATTAATAAATCTATTTTTGAAATGGATTTTTGGAGTTAATTTTTAAGGACATGTAATAACTGACATGATCATGAATATGAAAAAATAAATAAATTCCAAAAACTAGAAATAATAATTCTAGTAAGAAAACATATGGACCATTAGTTTCCATTGTTTTTAGATGGAACGCCTGCTTGTATCCATCTTTAAGATAGATGGTTTCCACTTTTTGGATTGCATCTGTAGTCATGTGGTCCAGCCATGAAACAATTTTTCAGTTTTCTTTGTGTGCTGTCTTTATGGGGAACTGCAACATTCATTGTACATTTTCCATTGAAATCTCAGTCGGCATGATTTATTAATGCATGGCATGGGTGGATTCGCCATGACAAGTACAAGTATCTGTGCATAGGTTAATTTGTAAAATTTGAGGGCATATTTCACATGTAATTTTAAAAAAGAAGTTGTTTTATGGTGTGGACTGGGGAAAATTACCAATTTACCTTTGACCTACAAGTTTGGTAATTTTACTGTGAGATCATGCTCTCTTGATTTTTAATTTATTTTTCAATCTTTCTTTAAAGAATAAGTGGTTTCATATTTGAAATATCGAACGTTGGGCAATAATAGAGAGAGTAGGACCTCACTGTCAAATTACTGAACTTATGGATCCAAAGTTAAATTTGGCAATTTCACCCCTGAGAAGAAAATTAAAGATGCAAAATAAGTTTGAAAGTACTCTTTTGAACGCCCAAAACTTCAAAAACTGTGCTTCAGTAGTTCATAAGTTGTTTCGAATTTAGCAACGGCAAATTGATTTTGTTTTTAGACGGTTGAAATGTCCTACTTTCTAATCACTTAAAAAATACAAAGAAAAGAAAAAATTATCAAAATATCTGTAAAAGATGTATTATCTAACATTTTACTATTTACAACTATTCCAACTCAAGATAAATCGTTTTTCTTATCGGTAGTTTGAAATTAAATCAAAAGATATGAATAGAGCGTTAAATTGTTTCTCTCATAGATAATTTAATTAATTACCCCATAAAAAAAGGCTTGTGTTTTGGGCTATTTGAAAGGAGGGCTTTCGACCACCCTAACACTTGGTCTTTTGTGTTTGGATACGGTTTGTATAGAGCTGAGGTTCTAAATAATCAAAGTAAAGCACACTTTCAAATAGTTTTGAGAAATGTGGTTTTAAAATTGGAAATAATTGTGATAGCCTTAAAATATATTTTCATCTTTAATTATACAATTTAAAGCTTAAAAAATAGTGTAGATCAAGCGGATCTATAAAAACTTGAAAACTTTGAAAATTGTCGGTCCAAAAATATATTACAAGATGCACTATTTCCAAAATTTGAAATCCATTTTTTTTCTTACGTCCATACATCTTGATGTCGAGATGATCAATTTGAGGATATTTGGACATCAAAATAGCCTCTTCTAATGAAATTTTTGAGATTGCCTCTAATTTGATTGTTTAGAACCTCGGCTCTATATAAATTTTTTCCTTTGTGTTTTAAACCAAAAAATGTTCAAGGTGGAAATCAGGAGTAAATTAGCAAGAAAAATAAGGTGAAATTAACCTCACGTTTTTTTCCAATTTTAATATTTTAATAACTGGTTCAAAAATTCAGGTTGCGCATCTAGATTTTGGATCTGCCAAAGTAGATAAAAAAATACAGATGAGCAATCCGAGTCACGATTCCGTTTTCTAAAACCTTAGGCTATAAACATCACAAACTCACGTGAGCCCACCACAACATGAGAACACTCCAAATGGTGGTCTCACTCTCACGGGTGATAGCCCTCATGATTATAGATTTATTATGCTCATGCGGATTATAGAATGCCTTCCCTTGGCTAAAGTTAAATTTCTTTCCAACGGATTTTGCATGCATGCAGGTATTGCAAATGAAGACACATAAAATACAACCATACCTTACTAAGTTAGACAATGGGTTGGAGTTTTAGTGGTAGTTTTATAGCGCCCGATGATAAGGTCTTTTCCTCCATTGTCACCAAGAGGTGCAAGCCCAGAAATCCTCGTATCAAAGGGTAAGATCTCAAAAATCTCGATTGACTTACCATTTTTTGAGAATGGCTTTGGGGTCTGGGCAGTAGTATTGCCTAGCCCCATAGTGAGGTCTGTAACCCCATTGTCACCAACGAGAATACCTAGCCCCATGGTGAGGTCTCTGACTCCATTGTCATCACTGGGATAGTATTGTCAAGCCCCATGGTGAAATCTCTTACTCCATTCTCATCAAAAAGGTCGGGGACCGATCCCCATTAACCACTTTTCCTTTTACCTTACTAAGTTAATTGTCTATTAATCTTGTATCATCATGCTTTCTATTAGTGTTTCAAAATTGGAACGGTGCTCTAATTCTCTAGGGGTCCGATTCGAATTCACTCCAGTGATTCTTGAGTTGGATCTGACTATATTAAAAAACATAAAAAATTAAAAACTTGAAATCAGGGAGAATTATATCATTTTACGGTTTTTTTGCCCTGAAATTGCCCACCCCTCTATCCGGTCCAACTCCGGGGATTCCCAAGTCTCAACGGTGATTTATGCACCACTATTTTCGTGCTAAGGAACTGTATTTGAAAAAAAAGGAAAAACTGATAATAATCATAGATTTCTTAAATAGGACCATAGCACATGAAATCTTTTTAAGAAAAGTGCTACATATATTCACCCCATAATGTCAAGCATCTTACTTTTTCCGACAATAAACTTTTCAAGATCTACTATTTGACCATGAATACAAATTATCCATGAAGGACCAGCAAAAAACCCTAAATCATGGCCCCTGTAACTGGCTACACTGAGCAGGTGCAAAGGACAATCTGTTCTCCCAAGATCATACTCCACCATATTTTGCTGCTGCCAATTTCCGAAAATGAAAGGACCAGCATCACCAGTTGTCACAATGACCAAGCAAATCACATCCTCATGCAAGGGATAGAATAAATTACTTGGTCCCGTCTTCCAGTCGGCATTGTCGGAAAAGTGGAATGTAATATCTGGTAATCCGGTGATCTTACTGGAATCCGGCACCTTGTAGCATTTCTCAAACGGACTCGGAGGATTACTGATAGACGGAAAATCAACAATATCATTGAACTTGTCGAGTAGTAGTTTATCGGCAACAGCAGGCAGGAGAGTCAGCGTGATTCCTGAATCTATGATGAACCCACCATCTCCTGTTTCGGTTAGATCAAACGTCCCTGGAGGAATGCCTAGTCTCTGTTTATCGACACTAATGTCTGTTAGATTCAAGAAATAGAAGGTCGGAAACTGCTCGGAATTCTTTATCGGTGTGCTCGAAACGTTCAGGCCCAAGAAATCCGCATTATCGCCAAAGTACAACACGCTTGTGGAGTTCATATCATGCCTAGAGGCGAGGCAATGCGAGAATTTGTTCGAAATTGAGTTCCCTAATTGAGAGGTTAGGGACAAGGGACCACCTTCGAGCCCGACTAGACCAGCCTCGCCATCTGTGCCGAAGCGCCCAGTATTTGAGGAGACGCACCGGAACCCAAGCCCGTTGATTTTGGCACCAGTGCCAGGATCAGTACTAAAAGTGGATCTAGAGCTAGTTTTTATCGGATCACTACTAGGAGTTGTAGTGAGACTGAAACTCGGATTAACACTAATGCTAGCTTTAAGGGATGGTAAGGTGGATTTGGGGGTTTCAAAGGTGAAAGTTTCAGTTCAAAGTTTACCACTGGTAGCCGAGCCGTCGCCGTATTGATAGTCGTAATGGCATGATGAGCCACCACAGTCGAGGTTATCCTCAAGGTTTTGGCAGAGGGTTGAGGAGCAGTTAAGGGAGAGGTATGTTGAAGATGATTTGGGGTTGAAAATCGGCACGTTTTGCTCAAAGCAATTGGAACAAGGGAGGCATTGAGTCCAAGTTAGGTCGCTCCCTGTGTCGGCAATAAGCCAATATGGCTCTGCAGGGGTCCCGATCCCGACCCTCATGAGGTACTCAGAGGGACCCGCTTTAACCTCTGAGGACAATTTTGACGGTGAGGATTTGCCAGTGAGGACTATTGGAAGTGTTGAAGGCGAGAAAGGGAGCGTTGCGCAGAGAGCCGGAAGAGGTCAGAGGGCGTGGCCGAGGGTCACGCATGGGGGAGTAGGGAGAGTCCCGGTGTATGAGGGCTATCTTAAATGATGAAGAGGGGCTGGAATGAGAGAGGGGTCTTGAGAAGGAGCACAAGGGGAGGCAGAGCAGGAGGACAGACAGAGAGAGGGCCATTAGGGTTGCCATGAGTGCCATGAACAGTAGATGAGGGGAGGGACTCTTGACTATATATTACTTGGGTACCATGGCTAAGAATAGGTAAAAATTGACAGCTTTATGCTTTATTACTGTGCTAATTCCATGACTGTATCTATCTCGTTTTCTGGTGTGTGCATGTATGCAGTCCATTTCCTTTACTCAAAGCGTGGATGCGTTATATTACTTTCATTAACACAGTTCTATTCTTCTAGGTAATGTTACTGGGGATATCACGATTAAATCGTGTGATCAAGTTTGTTTCAATCGAACTCTCTATCTAGGAGAGATATTTCTGAGAAATTGGGGAACTCTCTATCTAGGAGAGATATTTCTGAGAAATTGGTTTCATACATTGCGAGTTATGAAGTCGTTTTCGCACGGAAATAGGGGGTTGATGCTGGTCCTACCCCATCCCCCCCCCCCGCCTTTTCTCTCTGGCATCTTTCCCGAGGAACCCTCAATCCCTCATTCTCTCATCCATTGTGTCTCCTGACAAACCCTCATTCTCTCATCCACCGTGCCCTCAAAAACACAACTGGCCACTCATATTTCTATGTTGCTCTCTCTAAAACATCTCTCATCTGTGTTGAAATTCTTCTCCTTTCTCTGCAACATGTCTCTTACACGCAATGGAGAGAAGAGGATTGATTTATTAAAAAAATAGGAGAAACATGAAGATTCTTTGATTTCCAATGTGATTCCTTCAAATCTCCTAGATTTGTCTGTCCCTTTAAACCTATGTGTTTTTCTTTATTTTCCGTTTTTCTTTTAGAGAGAGATGATATGAGAGAGAGGTATGATTGAGAGAGTCGGGGTGCTGAGGAAAACATGGCCCAACGCCGCATGCCTAGGCATGGAGCCTGTCCCTTTCGTTTTTTATCTTTGCAGTCTTTTTTTTATTGTTTATCAACTGTGACCTACTTGGGCGAGTTACTCAAGACTCACCCGAGTAACACGCCTCGATTAAGGGTTTGAGTCCTTGGCCTGAGCCATGAGTCAAAACACTAAAGCCTGCTGTATAATTGTAAACGCTGCAAAAGCACATGCATGACATTGCAAAGGCATCTGCCGTCATCACCCCCAAGTATTTCTAAGAATATTGAAGATCATCATTGTCCACTTGTTGATTGGACAATGATGAAAGAGAGTGAGCATTTATTTTTTGTACAAATTTTTTAAAGAGATTGTCTCTAAAGAGGCCATTTACTTTTTTGAAAATGTTTGCATAAGGATGCAACCTTATAATGTAGAACTATAGATACACCTCAAAAATCCATCGGAAAAGATAGTTTTAATGTTGAAAAACCCTTTGATTGATCATCTCGACATCGACATGTTTGACCATGAACAATAAAAAGATTTAAAGTCTCATAAATAGTACATTTTACGACATATTATCTCCACCGTCCATTATCAAGATGTTTATATGTTTATAGATCTACTTGATTTTAACCATTTTTTATATTTAAAATTTTATAATTAGATATAAAAATAGATTTGGAGATAATCCTAAGAACATTTTACATCAAAATTATATACCAAGATAAAATTTGAAGGTGCACCTTACCTCTACATCTACGAATGCATCCGTATGCCAACTGCACCCTTTATTTTTTGTACATAGAGATCACAATCGTTGTTGACCCATAAATTCCAAAATAGGTGGTCGTTAGAGTGTCGTTGAATACACACAAAGTTCCAAGAAAAATTCAAATTCTTAGACTCCTGACTTACTCCAAGCCATCCAATTTGACATGTAATAGGCAACCCCTTTTTAAATCGTTATTACGATTTGGTCTGAAAATATAAAAATTTTATGTGAAGCTCCTGTTGACTAGTTTTGTAATGTTTTTTTTACAGGTTTGCCCAACTGCTCTTTGGGGTTCTTTTTAAAATAGTATCTGGTGGATGGGGCTTAAATGCTCCAATTTTTACCCCTTTGTAACTCTCTCTCTCTCTTTCTCTCTTGTTCTCTCTCCCGTGCTCTCTCTCTCCCACTCCGAGTAACTCTCCAGTGGTTTGATTTTTTAAAAATCGAACCGCTTTGAAAGGGTAATGAGATATTATCAAGTAGTTCGATTAAAAAATCGGATTGGGGCAAACTTGACAAAAAAAATAAAAAATTTCGGTGGGCCGTCCTTTTGAGTAATAACATCATACTTTGAGGCATTTTCATTGTTACGATATTAAAAACGAGTACGGGTGTAAATTTCCCCAAAAAAATAAGGGTGCGGTTTGTATAGAGCCGAGGCTCTAAACAATCAAATTAGAGCCCAACTTCAATTAGAGCCCACCTTCAAATCATGTCGATAAATATGGTTTCAGTACTGAAAATCTTTGAATAGCCTTAAAATATATTTTTAACTTTAATTATAAAATTTAAAGCTTAAAAAATAGTGTAAATCAAGCAGATCTATAAAAACTTGAATAACTTAAAAACTAACGGTCCAAAAATGTGTTAAAAGATGCACTGTTTCCAATCAGCATTGTTTTCCTGAGCACCCCGACTCTCTCAATCATATCTCTCTCGTATCATCTCTCTCTAAAAGAAAAACGGAAAATACAAAAAACCACCTAGGTTTAGTGGGACAGAAAAATCTAGGAGATTTGAAGGAAACACATTGGAAATCAAACAATCTTCATGTTTCTCCTATTTTTTTAACAAATCAATCCTCTCCTCTCCATTGCGTGCAAGAGAGATGTTGCAGAGAAAGAGAAGAATTTCAACACAACATCGTGCCAGTTGTGTTTTTGGGGGCACGGTGGATGAGAGAACGAGGGAATGAGGGTTTGTCAGGAGTCACAATGGATGAGAGAATGAGGGATTGAGGTTTGCTCGGGAAAGATGCCAGAGAGAGAAAAGGGGGAGGGAGGGGAGGGGAAAATGAAAAGGGGTTAGAAAGACTGGGCATTTTTTTTACTTTTTTTTGAATTTTTTAGAATTTGTTTTAATAACCCGAAGTTATAAATACAATTCGGATCAACTCGAGCTTGCCCACATGGCGAAGCTGACTAGCTCAACCGATTCCCTATGGAATCCGATCACACTGGTAGGGTTTTAGCATGATGCATATCATTAAGTCAGTATTGTGATTACAAGTGTCATCATCGTCCAACCATTGGACTGGATAGTGGTGGAGGAAGAAGGGATGTATTACTGAATTAAAGATCTGAGACTCGCTTTCCATCATCGAATTCAATGTTCTTGTGGACCATAAATACTTTTTCTAAAGGGTAAACAAAGGTTTAATTTCAAAAGTAATGTTTTACCAACCAGGAATTTCCAATCTGAATATCTGTAGGAGAATCGATGGGGATCGATTCAGTTCTAGAATGGTATGAGTCATGGCCTAATTTCCCCTCTAAGACCCTTCTTTATTTTTATTTTTCTTATTTTTTTAAATTTATTTAATATTTTATTATGGCCCTTCTAAATCTCTACTTAGTAAACTCTTCTTTTAATTTTTATTTTAATATTTTATGGATCACCAATTTGGATCGAATCAAATCACCAATCCTACGATCCTACATGAATATATAGCAGAACAATCTTCCCTGGAGATCCAAGTTTTACAACACTTCTCAAAAGTGTCGCCCCATTTAAGGAGTTTTTTGTTTTTTTATGGGAAATTTATGTACAAGCCCAAATAAAATTTTTGTATTACAGGATGGCCTATATTTTTTGACATTTAATGGTGAGGTCTAAATTTTTTTTTTGCCTCGTTTTATTGCTAAGTTACTCCTAGTTTGAAAGTCCGACATTTGTACCATCTAAAACACGAAAGACCAAGCGGTGATATCCTTGAATGAAGCAAAGTTGTGGTGTCCTCGCTTGCCAGATTTTTTTTGTTGTCTTTTCTTTTATTTGATGTTGCCAATGTTCCTTTCCCAATGGCTGTAAAAGGTATGTCCCTGTAACATATTTTGAAAAAATATATCCATACCTCTTATTTTTAGGTTTCATTTCATAATAGACATAAGGTTTTAAAAGATGTCTTGGGTATAAAAATTGTAGATTTTATTTCTTCTAACCCCCTAAGCTAATTTAAATCTTGTTTTTTAGGCAAAACAAATCTAAAAAGACATACCCTTTCTAAAAGTCATCCTCTCAAATTCCTTTATCTCCATCTTTCCCATCTCTCTCCCTCACTCTCTCTTCTCCTGCTCTCTCTCGTCATGTTTTGAGAGAGAGAGGGAGATGTAGGAAGAAAGAGAAAGAAAGAAGTTTGGGGTATATAAATGAATAGAGAGAAAGGATTGGATTAGATTTCACGAAGGTGAGAGGTTATCAGTATGAGAGAGAGGTGTTTGGAGAAACACAAGAGGAGAAAGAGTGAGAGCTGCAAAAAGAAAGAGAAAGAGAAAAGTTTGAGGTATATAAGTGAAAAGACAGAAATGATTAGGTTTAAAAAGAGCATGTCCTTCTCACATTTGCTTAGGTTAAAAAATAGGTTTAAAGTGGCTAGAGGCTATATGTTTTAAAACTTTGGGTTTATCAAGAAATGAAACCTAAAAATAAGAGATATGGAGATATTTTATCTATTTTTTAGTTCTATTTGATAGAATCAGTTTGATTTTCCATGAGAAAAGTACCATAAATATCACGACACTTCCGATCAGGGTTTGGAGATTAGGGCCCTGAGGCTACTTTATTCTTTGAAAAACTTGTCACATTGTGCATGCATTGGAAAGACCTTAAACAATTTTTCTCAAATTATAAAGACCCTACATATCCGAATCCACGTAGGTTTGGCTACGTAAGAATATGAATAGGATCCCCACCGATCTGCTACAAGTAAAAACATTTTATGGTTCGTTGATCTATGTATGGTTGGCCAAGGGTTGGGTTGGGTCAGGTCCGGCTGGATTCGTACCCCAACAAATATTATGGGACCTCTACCCAGATTCTTCCGGATCCCCAAAAATCCACAACTTCTATATATTTAAATATATGTTATAAATTTGTTAAATATATACATGTGTTATTTAAATATTATAAGTAAAAAATAAAATCATATTTATTTCAATATTATATATTAAATTTTATTTAATTATTAAAACTATTCTAGTTGTTGGGTCTACATGGACTTAGACCTGTTTAGGTCTAAGATTTGGTCTCGGACCTGAATAGTATTCTGGTCAAAGATTTGGTCCCAGACCTAAATAGTGTTCAGGATCAAGATTTGGTCCCGATCATTTTTTGACCCATATCCAAATCCAAGTCAGGTCTACCTGACGGGTCCTAGTCTATTGCCACCTCTAGATTTATGCCCCCTAGCTCCTTGGTTTATTGTATACATACTAAGAGAAGTTTGGGTATGCGATACTTGGCATGAGGCCATTCAGGCCTGACATGCTCTAACTCTTCTAAGAGTGCTCTTGTTTTTAAGCCTTATATTAAAGCAGGAACAATTAGTGTAGGAATGAAATAGGAATAGAACTGTAGACATCATATTGCGTCAATCTGCCATTCTGACCACTTAAGTCTAATTACCATTATATTTTTTGGATATCAGGCGTAGAGCGCAATAATAATACCAAGCAAGTATGGTAATTAATTATCGGCCACCTACTGCTATCGTTGGCAAATCAAGGTAAGCTATGGTGATACTTGTGGGCAGTTGAATTAAAAATACTACTTGGTTAAATAAGAAAAGGGAATCTATATATTAAGGCCATTTATCGTTGGTACAAGAACATCATAATTATTTATAACTTTTTGATGTGAAATCTGATAACTTGAGTATATCATAAAGTACGATAAAATTTCTTTTGAATTTTGAGCTTGATCAATGAAATAAATGCAGCCATCCAATGGTCAAGATTAATTGCAACTAGCTTGTACCAAAGCTAAATAATCTCATTATATACTTTTCTATAAAAAAATGAGTGGCCGAATATAACTCTTATAATATAACTCTGTAGGTGGAATTGGAAATAAAAACACACATGAATATCTTAGTATTGTACAAATCTAGAAAGGGTGAGGTCTGTATAACAAGTTAACCTTAACCAACCAAAGTAAGGTGTAATGTCGAAAAATGAAGTTCTGTTGATAAAATATCCAATGATAACCCCAAAATTTATTTTTTTCCCAAATTGTGAAATCTATAGCTCTGAATGTGGAACAAATAGAGAAGATATTCATCAGAAATGGTGCCCAAGAAATTAAAAATGTTCAGGCTGCTAAATTGAAATTAGTAGTGTTTTGTTAGTGGAGGCAATCAGGCCCAAACTTGGTATGGGTCTGGGGACCGGTCTGGGTTAGCGTCCACCCGACCCAGTATATATGCATAAAATATATATAAACTATAAAATAAAAATTTAATTTCTTATCTCGAATGACTTGGATGAGACCCAGAACTAGGACGGTCTGGGTCTATGTTAGGGGTAGGACCAGCATCAACGCCCTATATCCGTGTGAAAACGGCTTCATAACTCGCAATATATGAAACCAATTAGTATCTCTCCTAGAAATAGAGTTCGATTGAAACAAACTTGATCACACGATTTAATCGTAATATCACCAGTAACATTACCTAAAAGAATAGGACTGTGTTAATGAAAGTAATATAACACATGCACGCTTTGAGTAAAGGAAATGGACTGCATACATGCACACACCAGAAAAGGAGATAGATACAGTCAGGGAATTAGCTGTCAATTTTTACCTATTCTTAGCCATGGTACCCAAGTAATATATAGTCAAGAGTCCCTCAAGAGAACCCCTCATCTCCTGTTCATGGCACTCATGGCAACCCTAATGGCCCTCTCTCTGCCTGTCCTCCTGCTCTGTCTCCCCTTGTGCTCTTTCTCAAGACCCCTCTCTCATTCCAGCCCCTCTTCATCATTTAAAATAGCCCTCATACACCGGGACTCTCCCTACTCCCCCATGCGTGACCCCTCGGCCTCGGCCTCTGACCTCTTCAGGCTCTCTGCGCAACGCTCCCTTTCTCGCCTTCAACACTTCCAATCAGTCCTCACTGGCAAATCCTCACCGTCAAAATTGTCCTCAGAGGTTAAAGCGGGTCCCTCTGAGTACCTCATGAGGGTCGGGATCGGGACCCCTGCAGAGCCATATTGGCTTATTGCGGACACAGGGAGCGATCTAACTTGGACTCAATGCCTCCCTTGTTCCAATTGCTTTGAACAAAAGGCGCCGATTTTCGACCCCAAATCATCTTCAACCTACCTCTCCCTGAACTGCTCGTCAACCCTCTGCCAAAACCTTAAGAATAACCGCGAATGTGGTGGCTCATCATGCCAATACGACTATCATTACGGCGACACCTCGGCTACCAGTGGTAAACTTTCAACCGAAACTTTCACCTTTGAAACCCCCCAATCCACCTTAACATCCCTTAAAGCTATCGTTAGTGTTAATCCGAGTTTCAGTCTCACTACAACTCCTAGTAGTGATCCCATAAAAACTAGCACTAGTGCCACTTTTAGTACTGATCCTGGCACTGGTGCCAAAATCAACGGGCTTGGGTTCGGGTGCGGCTCCTCAAATACTGGAAGCTTCGGCACAAATGGCGAGGCTGGTCTAGTTGGGCTCGGAGGTGGTCCCTTGTCTCTAAACTCTCAGTTAGGGAGCTCAATTTCGAACAAATTCTCGTATTGCCTCGCCTCTAGGCATGATACGAACGCGACAAGCGTGTTGAACTTTGGTGAGAACGCGGATATCTCAGGCCTGAACGTTTCAAGCACACCGATAATAAATTCCGAGCAGTTTCCGACCTTCTATTTCTTGGATCTAACAGACATTAGTGTCGATAAACAGAGACTAGGCATTCCTCCAGGGACGTTTGATCTAACCGAAACAGGAGATGGTGGGTTCATCATAGATTCAGGAACCACGCTGACTCTCCTGCCCGCTGTTGCTGTTGAACTACTACTCGACAAATTCAACGATATTGTGGATTTTCCGTCTATCAGAAATCCTCCGAGTCCGTTTGAGAAATGCTACAAAGTGGCAGATTACCGTAAGATCACCGGATTACCAGATATTACATTCCACTTTTCCGACGATGCTGACTGGAATTTGGAACCAAGTAATTTATTCTATCCCTTGCAGGAGGATGTGATTTGCTTGGCCATTGTGACCACTGGTGATGCTGGTCCTTTCATTTTCGGAAATTGGCAACAGCAAAATATGGTGGTCGAGTATGATCTTGGGGAGAACAGATTGTCCTTTGCACCTGCTCACTGTAGCCAGTTACAGGGGGCCATGATTTAGGGTGTTTTGCTGGTCCTTCATGGATAATTTGTATTCATGGTCAAATAGTAGATCTTGAAAAGTTTATTATGGGAAAAAATAAGATGCTTGACATTATGGGGTGAATATATGTAGCAGTTTTCTTAAAAAGATTTCATGTGCTATGGTCCTATTTCAGAAATCTATGATTATTATCAGTTTTTTCTTTCTTTTCAAATACAGTTTTTTAGCACGCAAATAGTGGTGCATAAATCACCGTTGAGACTTGGGAATCCCCGGAGTTGGACCGGATAGAGGGGTGGGCAATTTCAGGGCCAAAAAAACCCTAGAATGATATAATTCTACCTGATTTGAAGTTTTAAATTTTTTATTTTTTTTAATACAGTCCAATCCAACTCAAGAATCACTGGAGTGAATTTGAATCGGACCCCTAGAGAATTGGAGCACCATTCCAATTTTTGAAACACTAAGAGAAAGCATGATGATACAAGATAAATACACAATTTACTTAGTAAGATAAAAAAAAAGTGGTAAGTTCGTGGGGATTGAGCCCCTACCCTTTTGGTGAGAATGGAGTAAGAGACCTCACCATGGGGCTAGGCAATACTGCCCATGGGGCTAGGAATTACTACCCCTATCATGATGTGGTGACGATGGAGTCAGAGACCTCACCATAGGGCTAAGTGACAATGGAGTTAGAGACCTACCCTTTTAGTGAGAATGGAGTAAGAGACCTCACCATGGGGCTAGACAATACTACCCATTGGGTTAGGCAATACTAACCCTGTGGTGACAATAGAGTCAGAGACCTCACCATAGCTCTAAGTGACAATGGAGTTAGAGACCTCACCATGGGGCTAAGCAATACTACTGGTAAGGCACCAAAGCTATTCTCAATGGAGTCCGAGACCTCACCATAGGGCTAAGTGACAATGGAGTCAGAGACCTCACCATAGGGCTAGGTACCCCTTTTGGTCTTAACTCCTTTTGATGACAATAGAGTCAGAGACCTCACCATGAAGCTAACCAATACTACTGCCAAGGTCCCAAAGCTATTTTTAAAAAGTGATAAGCCAATGGGGATTTTTGGGCTCTTACCCTTTGGTGAAAATTGGGGCAGAGACCCCATGATAGGGCTAGGCAAAACTACCACTAAGACTCCAACACATTCTCTAACCTAATAAGGTATGGTTGTATTTTATGTCTTCATTTGCATTACATGCATGCATGCAAAGCACGTTGGAAAGAAGTTTAACTTTAGCCAAAGGAAAGAAATCTATAGTCCGCATGAGCAAAATAAATCTATGATCATATGGGCTATCACCCGTGAGAGTGAGACCACCATTTGGAGTGTTCTCATGTTCTGGTGGGCTCACTCTCTTTTATCAGTCAATCAGTGGACGATGATGATCTTCAAGAAGTCTTTGGTCATGATGATTTTATATGCTTTTACAATGTCATATGTACGTGAGTTTGTGATGTTTATAGCCTAAGGTTTTACAAAACGGATTCGTGACCCAGATTGCTCATCCGTATTTTCGATCTAGTTATGTGGATTGAAAATCTGGATTAGCAATCTGAACTTTCGATCCAGTTATTAAAATTTTAAAATTGAAAAAAAGTGAGGCAAATTTCACTTTATTTTTCTTGCTAAGTTAATTTTGATTTGCAACTTTAACATTCTTTCGGTATAAAACACAAAGGAAAAAGTTTATATAGAGTCAAGGCTCTAAACAATCAAATTAGAGCCCACCTCAAAAATTTCATTAGAACAGGTTATTTTGATGTTCAAATATCTTCAAATTGATCATCTCGACATCAAGATGCATGGACATGAGAAGAAAAATGGATTTCAAGTTTTGAAAATAGTGCATCTTGTAATGTGTTTTTGGACTTCAAGGTTTCAAGTTTTCATAGATCCGCTCAATCTATGCTATTTTTTAAGTTTTAAATTTTATAATTAAAGATGAAAATATATTTTAAGGCTATCACAAATATTTCCAATTTTGAAACCACATTTCTTGAAACTATTTGAAGGTGTGCTTTATTTTGATTAGTTAGGGCCTCGGATCTATACAAACCGTACCCAAACACAAAAGATCAAGTGTTAGGGTGGTCCAAAGCCCTCCTTTCAAATAGCCCAAAACACAAGCCTTTTTTTATGGGGTAATTAATTAAATTATCTATGAGAGAAACAATTGAACACACTATTCATATCTTTTGATTTAATTTCAAATTGCCGATAAGAAAAACGCATTATCTTATTGGCATAGTTGTAAATAGTAAAATGTTAGATAATACATCTTCTATGGATTTTTTGATAATTTTTGCTTTTTTTGTATATTATAAGTGAATCGAAAGTGGGACAGTTGAACCGTACAAAACAAAATCAATTTGTTGTTGCTAAATTCGAAACAACTTATGAACTACTGAAGCACAGCTTTTTAAGTTCTGGGCGTTCGAAAGAGTACTTTCAAACTTATTTTGCATCTTTACTTTTCTTCTCAGGGGTGAAATTACCAAATTTAACTTTGGATCCATAAGTGCAGAAATTTGACTGTGAGGTCCTACTCTCTCTATTATTGCCCACCATTGGATATTTCAAATATGAAACTACTTATTTTTTAAAGCAAGATTGAAAAATAAATTAAAAATCAAGGGAGCATGACCTCACAGTAAAATTACCAAACTTATAGGGCAAAGGTAAATTGGTAATTTTACCTAGTCCACACGGTAAAACACCTTCTTTTTTAAAAGTACATGCGAAACATGTCCTCAAATTTTGCAAATTAACCTATGCACAGATACTTGTATTTGTCATGGCGAATCAACCCATGCCATGCATTAATAAATCATGCCGACTGAAATTTCAATGGAAAATAAATAATGAATATCACAATTTCTCATAAAGACACCACAAAAAATAAACTGGAAAATTGTTTCATGCGGGCTGCACCCCATGACTACAGATACAGTCCAAAAAGTTTTAAAGCATCCATCTTAAAGATGGATACAAGCAGGTGTTCCATCTAAAACAATGGAAACTAATGGTCCATATGTTTTCTTACTAGAATTATTAGTTCTAGTTTTTGGAATTTATTTATTTATTTATATTCATGATCTCCATGTCAAAGATTACATATTTTTAAAAATTAACTCCTAAAATCCATCTCAAAAATAGATTTATTAATAGGCCCACCTTTTTAAGTATGCGAGCTTGGCCGCATAGAAACCAGGTGCAAAAAAACATATGTAGAAAATGGCAGAATTTCCTTTTCAAGAAAAGATATGGAGATGTAAAAGATTTTGGAAAATAAGAAGCAAATTACTAAACGAGGGAGAGAGGGGGAGAGAGAATCATCTATGTAAAAAGTTTCCTAAATAGCTACTCAAAATAATTTCATAAATGGAGAGAATCATGGAGAGAGAAATCTCTCAATTATAGTCCAATTGCCGGTTTTAATTCATTTAATTCCAAAGGAAGAAGTAAGCCCTAGAAATCTTTAGAAACCCTTATCCTATTTTTAGCATTATAAAAAGAGGATCCCTTGCCCATAATTCTTTATACGTCAATTTCTCTCTTCTCTCTAAAATATTTCTCTCGATCTTTTGATAAATAAAAAACAAGGGGGTCACTCCCCAACCCTAGAAGGCTCTCTTTCTCTCTAGATCATGAGAAGGGGCACGCCCCACTTTTTGCACCATGTATTTCTCTCCCTCATCTTGCAGCAAGTAGATGTTATCTTGCATTAAATAGGTCATATGGGTTTGTACGTAAGTTCGAATTTTGTGATCAAGAGGAGTTCATGGTTCCATTAAAGGGTTTTCCTTGAAACTTGCTTTCCCATTGAGATTGAAGGTTCCGGCGAGGGGTGTAATAAAGCCTAGGTGAGGTAATCTACGATATTGTTCTTTTATTTTTATTCCCTTTCAAATATATTATCTTTGCATTCCCAAGTATGAAAAGTAGTGATTATTTTTCTTTGTTTAAAGAAAATTAGTTTAATGGCATTAAGGTTTAAAGATTTTGGATTCGTTGGTTTTGCTTTTATTTTCTTGAAGCAAGAATTACTGTAACAAGAAAGCTTGTGGGTAATCTTTGCCAAAAGAAAAAGGGTTGAAAAGAATAAAATAAAATATATATACATATATAGTCTTTCCAACTCTTATAGGCGAAAATAAATAGTGATTTCGCCTACGTTCATCACCGTCCAAATTTCATCGCGTGGTCACTATTGTCCGGTAGTATTTTATTTTTCATTTTTTTTATAATCATAATGACCTAAAATTTGAAACATATGTACATCTTACTGAGGCGCATCTAATAAAAATATAAAAAAAATTATCTGTAAAAAACTATTGACCAAAATACCCCCGAAACTTTTCTGGGCCATTTTGGTCACTTATTTTTGACGAAAAATATTTTTTTATGTTTTTGAAAGATTTCTCTATTTTTTATTAATACACATTCTAAATTTCAGGTCATTCCGATTTGTAGAAAAAACAATAAAAAATAAAATAGTATCGGACAATCGTGACCGCTTGATGAACTTTGGACGGTGATGGAGGTAGGAAAAATTACTGTTTATTTTCGCCTATTGGTTTTACATAGTGTTTTTCATATATATATATATATATATATAGATGCACAACTACCTCAGCAAGATCACGTTTGTCGATCTTTAAAGGAACCCTTGAGTTGATCAATAGTCTTGGCCTCTAAATCTTTTGATTCTTCAATGACTACAACAATGTGCTCATACTTACGTTCTAGTGACCGTAGTATTGTCTCCATTAACATCATCTATATTTTTTGATTCATTCATATGCAATGCCTCAAACTTGGCCCTAAGAGTTTGAAGGCGCTCTTTTTTCACCTTTCCAACTCTTTTGAAAATGTTTTGAAGAATCTCCCACAACTTATTTGTATTTGCAGCAGAAGAAATTTTCTCAAAAGTGCTCTCATCAATTCTTTGATAAATAAGAAAGAGACCATTCTTATCCAACCTTCTCAACTCCTT